TTTTATTGTTTTTCCTATCTTTAAATTTCTTTCTTCCAAGAAGTATTATTTGTATTAATTATTTGTTATACAAAACCGACAACATCATTATCTTAGTGGTGTTATATTAATCCTCCTCCGATGCAATTGTGGAAATTCTCTTTGCTCCGATGTCTACTTAGTTGTCCCAACATATCTCAAATTCATCCAAATGATGTCAATTTTTTGTTCAAAAATCAAATTACAAATCTTGTTATGTTGTGTGTTTGTATATGTAGGTATTTAGAAAAATTATCAATAAGTCCTATTTTCTTTTGAAAAGAACCATTAATTCCCATCATATTTACATTAGGACAATTAAGGTAGTGATTGGTAACCGGTGGTTTTGTTTTCTTTTTTTGTTTTTGTTTTCATTTTATGGTAAAAATAAATAAATAAAAACATGTTTGGTTAATATTTTCATTTTTTTTTAATTTTTCTGTTTTAAAAACAAGCTAAAATATGAAAACATTCAACATTATGTTTTTGAAACATAAAAAAAAAAACGCGCAATTGATAAAGGGATTTAATGAGGTCTTGACTTTGATCCTCCTTAACAATAAAAAATGATTTTTTTTGCTTTGAGTATAAAAGCCCATGTCTCTCCTTCACACCTCTCAGTCGTCTCTTTGTCGACTCTCTCTCTCTCTCTCTCTCGATGTCAAAGGCTGAAGACGAAGAGAAGTCATCTCCATCGAAATTGCCCCTCTCTGTTCTCTCGATGCCAAAGACGAAGCCAAAGCCATCACCATTGCCATTGCCCCTCTTAGTCATCTCTCTCTCTATGCCAAAGACGAAAACAAAGNTTGTCGACTCTCTCTCTCTCTCTCTCTCGATGTCAAAGGCTGAAGACGAAGAGAAGTCATCTCCATCGAAATTGCCCCTCTCTGTTCTCTCGATGCCAAAGATGAAGCCAAAGCCATCACCATTGCCATTGCCCCTCTTAGTCATCTCTCTCTCTGTGCCAAAGACGAAAACAAAGAAAAAAAAAAGGGGGGGAAACATGTCATCGCCCCTCTCAATCATCTTCTCAAGCCCTTCATCTATGTATATTATCTGTATATATAGATGAGTGGTGGATTTGGGGGGCTTTGGGTGGTGAATTTCGGTGGTGGGGGTGGGTTTTCAGGGATGGGGTTGGGTGGTAGTTTTCGGTGGTGGTCAATGGGGTGGTTTTCGGTGGTCAGTGGGGTTGTTGTGGTTGTGGTTGTGGTTTTCAGTGGTGAGAGTGGGTTGTTGGCTTCGGTGATGGGGTTGGGGTTGGGTTTCGGTGGTGGGGTTGGGTGGGCAATAGGTTTGGATGGTGGTTAGTGGGGTTAAGTGGTGGGTTTGGGTGATGAATTTTTGGTACATTACCAAACATAATTTTTTATTTTTGTTTTCATAATTTTTTAAATATAAGTGACTATCAAACATGTTTTAAATTTTTAATTTTTATCACAAAAAAAAAAAAACAAAACTTAGTTCTGTTTTTTATAAAAAAAAAAACATAAAAACGAAAACGTTATCAAACACCATAAGTTTTACTTTGATAATTTACTCTCCAAAAAGTCCTAAACTCAATTAATGATTTGTTTTGTTCTAATTTTATCCTTTTCATGAACACACAAATTACTTTTTTATTTATAATTTATATTCAATTTTATTTATTGAAATATGATTGTTTTATCTAAAATTAAAACCCAAAATAAATATCTTTAGTTAAAGCATCCACCCTAATGACATGTCAGAGCTCATATACAAGTAAATCGAGCATATTACAAAAATTATTAGATACATAAATATTTTATATCTTAAATACAACATTGTTGCTTTGGATGTTAGAATTTTTTTTTTTATATACGTCTTAAAACAGTAATTCTTTTCGAATTAATTCAACATACAGAGATAAATAAATAGNATTTTTTTTTTTATATATGTCTTAAAACAGTAATTCTTTTCTAATTAATTCAACATACAGAGATAAATAAATAAATCAAACTAAACACCGGTATGTCACCCTTCCAAGGAAGGGAAAAAATAACATTCTATTATATATAACATATTTAAATATAAACAAATAAAATACTATTTCTATTTCATTTTAGATCGGAGATGTAGGATTTTCAGGATAAGGAATTAGATAAACAAACAATGGATAAATCCAAGTAACCTTTTTTTAAATTCAAGCGATCTTTTCGTAAGCGTTTGCCCCCAATTCAATCGGGGGATCGAATTGATTATAAAAACATAAGTTTAATTATTCGGTTTATTAGTGAACAAGAAAAGATATTAACTAGGTGAGTGAATAGATTGACCTTGTAACAACAACGATTAATTACTATTGCTCTAAAACAAGCTCGTGGATTTACGTTCAATGCCATACTTATCGAACATAGGATCTCCGTCCTTGTGATTCTCCTCCTGCTTTCGCGGCTGCTGCGATTAGCATAAGTCCGAGTACTATGCGCCAATCTAAAAGCAAATTCTTGTTTATCTCTGGTGCTTTTGTTATCATTTCCACAGCTTCCTCTTTTTGCATTTCCTCCTCTGTGGTAAGATAGCTTTTGCGATCCGTTTGTTTGCTTCACCCCCACTTTCTTCTGCATTCGCGATTATTTCCCCTGCATTCTGTAGTGGTCTTTCTATCTCTAGGTTCGCCAAGCTTCGCTGTATTGCTTGTCCTACCTCTATAATGGTATCGCTAAATAAGGAACACCCAATAAATAAGCATGGCATGAGCACCGATTGGATTTCTCCCAAATGTTAAAGGTAATCTTTTCATTTTGAAGCCTTGGTCTCCTGGATTGAACAACTCGAAGTTTTGTCCTTTCCACAGATATCCAGGTCATGACTTAGAGTCATGTTACACTCTCAAGGATTTGATTTATGACTTGAATGATCAGAATCAACTCAATTGGAAGGAAATAGAGGTACATGTGATAGGGCAGAATCAAGGAATTTATCAAAACCCTTTGCCAGATCACCAAGCATTATGTGAACAGACCAAAGAATTGAAATTGTTCGGTCCCAGAATCGCTTATTGTGACAAAGGCTCGAAGGATTACTACAGTGGAAGTACAAAGGCCAATAGAAGCACCCACATGTCAATTGTCAAGTACAGTTGATGGTTGAAGATAGGAACCTCCAAAAACATACGACAGCATGCGTGTATGATGACATCTGCAACGAAAACTCCTTTTTTTTTAAGACAAAGTAGTACATTGTTCCACTTGAGAAGATAAAGGCTTTACATTTTTAATTTATGTAATTGTATGTCTTTATAGTTTACATTTGATAGTCAGATGAGTTGAAATTTGTATGCTTAAAAAAGTTAAATATAAGAAAAAATAAAATTTTATGATTTATTATTTCTATAAGTCTTTATTGTTAGTTACGTGTTTGAAATGTTATGCACTAATTAGAAAAAAAATAATTTGCTTTCAGATACTAATAACCATTTTATTGGTAAAATTGTAATTGGTGTTTTGATGAGCAAGATAAAATTAAAGGCAAATATACTATTGATAGAGTTTAGGACTTCGTGAGAATAAATTACTAAAAGTAAGTCTTGGTTATCCAATAAAGATGATAGGACTTAATGGTTCTTTTGGTGAAAAAGTAAGACTTATTGATAATTTTCCATGTCTTATCTACACAATCTTCCCATGCTCCAATTTTATCCCCCCAAATCACCTGAGGATTTTCCTTCGCGGGTTACTCGTTCCAAAGTATTTTTGTAACCAACTCCTGGAATATAATCCTACCCTAATGCTTTCGCGGAAAAATATATGGTACCAAATCCAAACTCTATCAAAAACTTTTGCAAAAAATTACGACCTAATGAAGTCCAAATATTTGTGATCAAGCCTAACAAGTTAGAGTCAAGGTCGAATTTGCAGTTGGGGGCAGTACAGACACCTACCTCCACCACAATTTTATAATGAATTGGAACTTATTTAAAATTTTGAGAAATTTAACTTTGTTTTAGAACATGACTCTCACTAAAAAAACAAAAAAAATCACAAACATTTCAGGGTAATTTATTTAAAAAAAAAAAAATAAGGGGAGTTCTTTTATAAGTTAAAACAATTAGACTTTAGCATTCCTTACATGAATCAATCTCGCAACTCTCTTTAGTTTTCAGTTCACTCACCCTTTGCAATGAATCACCATTTCACCGACCCATTCGTTTTTCAGGTCCTACCTCCTCTTCCTCCTAAATCAACAATTAGATATTTCGCATTCTTACCCGATTTTTTTGTGAAATATCAAAAAATCTTCTATTGACCTACCCGAATCTTTCAAGTAACCGATTAATAAAGCCGGATAAGATAGAATCAAAAGTTGCAGGTAATCGAAAATTTGAACACCCCTGACAACCAAAAGCTTGACATCCTGAAGATGTCAGTCATCACCCACAAATGAATATAATGTTTCTAATATTGTTATATTGATACTTAATTTATTAACTTAATTTACTATAACCTTTCTTGAATTGACTCTGAGGACAATCAAATATTGAAAATTGATATTAATCAAATGATCATAATAAAATCACATAATTAAATTGACAAATTAAGTCAATTGTGGTGAATTGACTCTGGCATGCTATTCATAATAAAATTGCAATACACCACACCCCAATAAACTTCACCTCTTTCCCAGCAAAATCATAATTTTCCTAGGCTACGAACATTAATTAATAACAAAAAAGAACTAGAACCAAAAACCAACTAACCAGACATATACTTGTAGATAATTAAAACCATACCGAAGAACCAACTTCTTTCAACTATCTAAAGTCAACTTGAGTAGAAGTCGTGTAACTTTCCTACAAGTAGATACCCATACTGATCCTTGGACATTCTAATCTGGGATGGCAAGGAAATACTACTAAGTTACTTGGCCTTGTAATCCAAGCCAGTTCATACATTTTCTGGCCTTTTAATCCAAGCCAGTTCAAACATTTTCTACAAAGCTTCCATAACTATATATCACCGCTATCCCAACACCAATGCCAGGGCCCTTGAACCATTGTGGCCAACAGCAAGACTGTCGGTGCCATTGAACCATTGTCGCCCTTGCCATCTGTTATCACCCACCCCTCAGATGAATAGCATGTCAGGCTTAACACTGCAATAATATGAGATATAAATAGAAAAATGAAAATCTTACATATCCTACAAAAATGACACTAGGCCAGACCTTAAAGAGTAATGGAAACTATCCAATGGGGCAAAACTTCATCCTACTCCAACCGAAAAACAGCTAGAGGAAAACAAAATATTTCGTCCAAAGTCAGCAAAGCCAATTCAAAATAATCATCCATCCAACATCCCTTTCCAAATGATTCTATTAAGAAGTAGCATGCCATTATTGCTCCATATACCTATTATCGTGATCCCTTGCTTCAAACTTTTGACTCTTAAGTTTCTCACACCTATCAAACATATGAAAACAAACAGTGTGCCTGTTGTGACCCGTTACAACAATCCTGCAACTAAACCATCACCACTGCCAATATCACCCTGCTTAGACCACTATCCCTCCCATGGCTGCTACCCATGCGACCCTTCCCCAATTCTTCGACCCTGAACCACTGATGCTACGGTACCATTTACCACCATCACCTACAGTTCCTCCACAGCCAATGTAGTTGGCACAGAGAATTGGGTATCAGCCCCAGTTTCCAAATAACAATTTAGTAGCTGACCAAATTGATAAATTAAACAATTGAGATCGCAACTCGATAATATTTCAAAATACTTCCATTTTGCTCAAGTTCAAATATACTTTATTAAATTAGTGTGTCCAACCAGTAGGTTTGGGTTCCCACTAATAACTATGGATCTTTCCCAATGTTAACAAAATTAGAACCAAAGAGATTTCATACCCCATATGAATTAAAATTTGTAAAGCAGACCCATGATTTAGTAAATCATAACAACAATCTAACAACGCTAATTACTTTAGTTTAGACAACAAATGCCTAATAATGCTAACTACTTTAATGTAAACGACAAATGCTTAGCCCCGCATCAGCAATAATGTCCACAATATAAAATGAAAGTGAAATAAAACCATCAGAAAAATCCCAATGTTACACTATTAAAGTTTTCCCAATAGCCAATTCAAGAGTTAATATACCTCTCAATGCCCAGTAAACAAAAACCATCACTAACCATCATCACATTCTTCCACTAACAACAACCCAATAACCCCTAATACCCTGAACCTGCAGCAGTCAAAACCTCCCAATCTCAAAAGAAAACAAAAAGCATCAGCACAAGCATGTGTTAGATTAGGGCACATAAAAAGCTAAAATCCCAAGTACCATACAAAAATGTCAGTAGGTCAGACCTTAACTAGGGATGGACATAATGCCACAGTAGTGGCCAAAATTCATTCTACATCCGGATTTTGTAAACTGTAAGTCACCAAATCTTACCAGCTGCACAATAGGCCAAACATAAGCTAGAAAAAATGCCAGGGAAAAACAAACTATTTCTTCCAAATCAATCAAAGCCAATTCAAAATAAACTATCCATCCAGAATACCTTGCAAGTGATTCTATTAGGAAGAACCATGCTCTTAGTTCCACAATATCTACACATTATCCCTAATCCTAATTCAGACTTTCAAATTTGATACTCATTCAAAACTTCAAAACAAACACCGTGTTTCACAACCAACATCACAATAATCCAACAACTAAATCATCACCACAGCTGCTATCGCCCCACTTAGACAACTATCCCTACCCTAGCTACTACTCCTAGGACTCTTTTTTTTTTACCCAATTCTTCGACCCTGAATCACTGATGCTATAGTACCATCGCCTTCAGTTCCTCCACTGCAGGCAGTGGTGTTTGCACGGGAAATTGTGCATTTCAAAATTCGTCCATTTTGCTCATGTTCAAATACTCAACTCAACACAGCCTTAATCCCAACTATTTGGGGTCGGCTATATTAATATGCAACGTTAAATAAGTGAGTCCAACTAATAGATTTGGGTTCCACTGGCACCAGCAACTATGGATCCTTCCCAAAGTTGACAAAATTAGAAAATATTGAGGTTTCATACCCCATTACCTTTAAAAAATTTGTAAAGCAAACCCATGATTTAAAAAGCCCTAACAACAATCTAATAATGCTAATTACTTTAGTTAAGAAAACAAAGGCCTAATAATGCTAATTATTTTAATGTAAACTACAAATGCCTGCCCCTGCATCAACAATAATGTCTTTGCCATAAGCCAGACAAAATGTAACATTAGAAGTGTGAAGCTAATATGCACTAAAACCATCAGAAATATCCCGATGTGATAACAATAAAGTTTTCCCAACTAATAAGTCTACCAGTCACCATCCATTTTTATCAATGCCCAATAAACCAAGATAACCCCAAAACTTCATCAGAATCTTCCTGCAAGAATGACCCCTAATGNCCAACTAATAAGTCTACCAGTCACCATCCATTTTTATCAATGCCCAATAAACCAAGACAACCCCAAATCTTCATCAGAATCTTCCTGCAAGAATGACCCCTAATACCCTGCAGCATTCAAAACCCTCCCAATCTCAAAAGAAACAAAAGCATCAACACAAGCATACCCTACCTGTTCAGAGGTGAGCCACTGATTATCCCACCTACTCATAGTCACCCTTCTCGGCTTCTCAATCTCCTTGCCAAGCACCTGTCTCGCCAAATCTTTCAACCCAGCATTGCGAAGCTCTATCATATCATAATCATTGGCCGCCAAGCCACGCACATCAACAGTAAAGAGCACCCCCAAACCATAATCCCCCATCAACTTCTCAACATCGCTCTCAATCCCAACACCCACAAAAGTATAGTTGGAATTTCCAAGAAAATCCACAAGAGACTGAGGAATTTCAGAGCAATGGATCAGTTGAAAGATGAGACAGCGACGACCCACGCAGAGTTGGAGAGTGGCGACTGGGTTTTCGACGTAGCGATTGAAGTTGGGACGCCACTCGACGTCGAGGCCGACAATGAGACGGTGGAGACGACGGTGGTGGATCGATTCAGTTTCGGAAATCCAAATGTCGACGTAGGAGGGAGTGTGTGTGACCAGTGTGTGGATCCTATCGTTGCAGAAGTTGACATCGTAGAGGTTGTGGGTTTCGTCGGATAACTGGTAGTCTTCAATGATGATAGTCATGGTTGATGATTGAAGATTTTAGAAAGAGAGAGAGTATGAGAGAGAAGAGGGGTTCTGAGCGGAGAGAAGGAGGAAAGGAAAGAGAGGTTTGAAAGGTGAAAGAATACCGGAAGTCAAGGGAACAGAGGCAACAGTAAAAGGGGATTGTTGTACTGATGGGAATTGTTGGAGACCACAGTCACGCGCAGCGTCCTGGTGTGGGCCAGTGGGCCCTTGTTTGGATGGGGTCTGAATCAATGTTATGTCGTCAAATTGTGAAGGGTTGATGGTTAATTGATTTAACCGTTGACTCAACTAATCAGATCGGTTATATAATTTAAAAATAAAAATATATATATAATAATTATAAAATTTAATAATTTAATTAAAAAATATAAAATATGTATAAAATATATAAAATTTGTCATGAAATTAAGTAACAAAGTGAAGGTAATTATATTTTAAACCAAAATAAAAAGATTAAAGTAAATTATAAAAAAAAAAAGAGTGTCATTTATAATTTTTCCAAGAATAAGGTTAAAAAAAATTAACTATTTACTGATTTAGGGTAAAAAAATTTATTTATGTAATTTAATTTTTAAAAACTAGTTTTTATTAAAAATCGACCGATTTTTCGATTTTTAGCCGGTTCGCTTCCTTAAGACGTTCAACTAAAGAATCGGACAAGTTAAGGTCCCGGTTCACTGTTGAACCAGTCCCATCGACTAGTCCGGTCAGGTTCTAATAATACTGGTCTGAATCAATTTTGGATTTCTGATTTAGATCCCTCTTTTACCCTTTCCTTTTAATTCACTTCAATACTATATTAGATGAATGACATATGTAAGATTTTAAATTTTAATGGATAAGACATTTTCTCATTTATTTTGTTGTTGGTGGAATATTAATCATTATTAAGGAATTTTCTCACAAATAAAAAATCTTGTCCATTAAAATTCAAAATTTTACACATATCACTCACCTAATACTGTATTGAGGACAATTGAAGAGAAGGGGTAATAGAGGAGATCCAGATTTTCGATTTATGAGTATCTTCAATCATGACTCAAATTTAAACTTAAATTTTAGTTTAAATTTGAATAAAAAAAAACTTGATTTAATATAGAATACTCCAATAGACAAACTCAAATATTTATTCAAATTTTTTAAAAAAATACTCTAGAATTCTCAAATTTGATACAACAATACAACCTGGGAATAAAAAGAAATAGAAAAAAATTGTNCCAAATCTTTCAACCCAGCATTGCGAAGCTCTATCATATCATAATCATTGGCCGCCAAGCCACGCACATCAACAGTAAAGAGCACCCCCAAACCATAATCCCCCATCAACTTCTCAACATCGCTCTCAATCCCAACACCCACAAAAGTATAGTTGGAATTTCCAAGAAAATCCACAAGAGACTGAGGAATTTCAGAGCAATGGATCAGTTGAAAGATGAGACAGCGACGACCCACGCAGAGTTGGAGAGTGGCGACTGGGTTTTCGACGTAGCGATTGAAGTTGGGACGCCACTCGACGTCGAGGCCGACAATGAGACGGTGGAGACGACGGTGGTGGATCGATTCAGTTTCGTAAATCCACATGTCGACGTAGGAGGGACTGTGTGTGACCAGTGTGTGGATCCTATCGTTGCAGAAGTTGACATCGTAGAGGTTGTGGGTTTCGTCGGGTAACTGGTAGTCTTCAATGATGATAGTCATGGTTGATGATTGAAGATTTTAGAAAGAGAGAGAGTATGAGAGAGAAGAGGGGTTCTGAGCGGAGAGAAGGAGGAAAGGAAAGAGAGGTTTGAAAGGTGAAAGAATACCGGAAGTCAAGGGAACAGAGGCAACAGTAAAAGGGGATTGTTGTACTGATGGGAATTGTTGGAGACCACAGTCACGCGCAGCGTCCTGGTGTGGCCCAGTGGGCCCTTGTTTGGATGGGGTCTGAATCAATGTTATGTCGTCAAATTGGGAAGGGTCGATGGTTAATTGATTTAACCGTTGACTTAACTAATCAGATCGATTATATAATTCAAAAATAAAAAAATATATACAATAATTATAAAATTTAATAATTTAACTAAAAAATATAAAATATGTATAAAATATATAAAATTTGTCATAAAATTAATGAAATTAAGTAACAAAGTGAAGGTAATTATATTTTAAAACAAAATAAAAAGATTCAAGTAAATTATAAAAAAAAAAAAAGAGTGTCATTTATAATTTTTCCAAGAATAAGGTTAAAAAAAATTAACTATTTACTGATTTAGGGTAAAAAAATTTATTTATGTAATTTAATTTTTAAAAACTAGTTTTTATTAAAAATCGACCGATTTTTCGATTTTTAACCGGTTCGCTTCCTTAAGACGTTCAACTAAAAAACCGGACAAGTTAGGGTCCCGGTTCACTGTTGAACCGGTCCCATCGACTAGTCCGGTCAGGTTCTAATAATACTGGTCTAAATCAATTTTGGATTTCTGATTTAGATCCCTCTTTTACCCTTTCCTTTTAATTCCCTTCAATACTATATTAGATGAATGACATATGTAAAATTTAAAATTTTAATGGATAAGATATTTTCTCATTTATTTTGTTGTTGGTGGAATATTAATCATTATTAAGGAATTTTCTCACAAATAAAAAATCTTGTCCATTAAAATTCAAAATTTTACACATATCACTCACCTAATACTGTATTGAGGACAATTGAAGGGAAGGGGTAATAGAGGAGATCCAGATTTTTGATTTATGAGTATCTTCAATCATGACTCAAATTTAAACTTAAATTTTAGTTTAAATTTGAATAAAAAAAATTTGATTTAATATAGAATACTCCAATAGACAAACTCAAATATTTATTCAAATTTTAAAAAAAAATACTCTAGAATTCTCAAATTGGATACAACAATACAACCTGGGAATAAAAAGAAATAGAAAAAAATTGTTCTAGAATTCTCAAATTGTTCTAATTTCTTATCTTCTTCTATAAATTCAAATATAAAAAAACGGTTACTTTGACATGGGTTTGATATGAAGAATATAAAAAACGGATCATTTTCAACAAAAATTAATGATTGAAGAAATAAAATAATGAATTTCCTAAATTTACGAGTAATAAAGATTTAAATTTCAGTAAGAATCTGGTGGTCAGGAATTGCACTTTAACTCAAAAAAATTAAAATAAAATTTGATAAATAGGTTTAGGGTTTTAAAAGATAAGTGAGATTAGGATTTTGAAAAATACCCAAATTTACAAAGATGAAAAATGAAAATGAAAAAGTTTATCTCTAGGTCTTTAAAGGATCTATGAGTACTTCGATGGTAGTCGGTAATGGAAGCAACGTAAAAGAGAGAGGTTAGAAGAGGCAAAGAATAGGTCGTCGAAGAAATTTTTTGGCTTTGGATAAGATAAAAAGTTACCATTACAAATTTCGTAAAAAATTTGAGTCTTCTTCAATTTTGGTCACAAAATAAGTTTTTTATTAATTTAATATATGTTTGTGTCAATGTTTGGAGAAGATTTTTAGACCATTTAGAGTCAAATTTAAATTTGAGTCTAAGGTAGTGTTTGATAAAACTGAAAGCTGAACACTAAAAACTGAATGCTAAATTTTTTAATTCTCATACTATTTGGTATTAACTAAAATTTAAGTATTGAATTTAATCAAACTGTTTGACAAATATAAGGACCTGAACTTTAAAAATTATTATTATTCTAATTTTGTCCTTCTCTTTAATCATCTCTCTGTAGCTGTCTTATTCCTATCACCACCATCACAATGGTGGTGGTAATGGTGGCAACGACGATGGTGGTTGCACAATGGTAGTGGTGGCAATAACAATAGTGATGGTGATGGTGGTGGCGACAATGGTGGTGGCAGTGGCACAATGGTGGTGGTGGCAGCAGCATAATGATAACGGTAGTGGTGGTGGTGACATAATAGTAATGGTGGTAACAACAACTCAATGTTGGTGACGGTGGTGGTGGTGGTGGTGGCAGTGGCACAATGGTGGTGGCGGTGGCGGTGTTACAATGGTGGGGGTAGTGATGGATATAATGATGGTGGTGGTGGCAATGACACAATGGTGGTGAGGGTATATTTGTCCATTTTATGAGAAATTGATAAAATCCTTATTGATTAATATTTTCAGCATTAAGTGATAAGTATATGGCTTTCTATTTAAAATTTTAGCCTATTTTTAAGAAGTGCTTAAAATATTAAGTAGTATGATAACACCACTTAAAGGCTTAAAATTGAATATATTAATCACTTAAAAAATTAAACATGTTTGATATCTTAAAACTCACACTACTTAATATTTTAAGCACTTCTTAAAAATAGAATAAAATTTTAAATAGCAAGCTACCTACTTTTCACTTTAATGTTTAAACATGTTAGTCATTAATAATTTTTTTAATTTCTCATAACAAACAAATATACCCTCATCACCATTGTGTCCTCACCATCATTGTGTCATCACCACCACTGCCACCACCATTGTACCACCACCACCCCCACAATCATCATCATCACCTCCACCACTATCACCACCACCATTGTGTCACCGTCATCATNTTGTGTCATCACCACCACTGCCACCACCATTGTACCACCACCACCCCCACAATCATCATCATCACCTCCACCACTATCACCACCACCATTGTGTCACCGTCGCCACCATCATTGCTGCCACCACCACTACCATCACCATTGCCGCCACCACCTCCAGCACCACTACCATCCCCACCATAGTGTCGCCGCCACTACCACCACTATCGTTATGTCACTGCCACCACCACCATTACCATTGTGCCACTGCTACCAACACCACCACTGTAGCTGCTACCACTATTACCACCACTATTGTGCCACCGTCACCACCACTACCACTACTATTCCCACCGCCACCATTGACACCACCACCACCACCACCCACCATCATCACTACCGTTAATACCATTGTGTCGCCGCCGCCGCCATCGCTACTACGATCACTACTATTGAGCTACTGCCACCACGATCACCACCACCACCATTGTGTCACTGCCACTACCAACACCATCGCTACCACCACCACTACCATTGTGTTGTTGCCACCACCATCATCGTTGTTGTCACCACTACCATTGTGTCACCGCTACCACAACCACCATTGCCGCCACCACCTTCATTGTTTCCACCATTGTATCGTCGTCACTACTACTACCATTATGTCACCGCCACCATCACCATTGTGTCACCACTACCACCACCACCACTGTCGCTATCACAAACCACCATTGTGTTACCGCCACCACTACTACCACTGCCATTGCTACCACCACTACCATCACCATTACCATCACCACCACTGCCACTACCATTGTGTCGCCGCCACCACTATCATATGTCACCACCACCACTATTATGTCATAACCACTACCATTGTGTGGCCACCACCACCACCATCGTCGCCCCCACCACTATTGTGATGGTGGTGGAAGGAATAAGGCAGTTACAAAAAAGATAGTTAAAGAGAAGGGTTAGTAGAATAATAATAATTTTTAGACTTCAGTTGTTTATATTTGTCAGATAATTTGATTAAATTCAATACTTAAATTTCAGTTAATACCAAACAGTCTACGAATTAAAAAATTCAACATTCAACACTTAAAATTCTGCATTCAGTTTTCAGATTTATCAAACACCACATTTGGAGATACNATTAAAAAATTCAACATTCAACACTTAAAATTCTGCATTCAGTTTTCAGATTTATCAAATACCACCTTTGGAGATATTTTTAACAGAAAATTGAGATTAAGACTTATTTAAGAAAAAAATTGTTAATAAGATTTTTAATCTATTAATTTTTATTTATACATAAATTCTTATTATTAGTTACACAATTTAGTTTATCTTTTTTCTAAATTACTTAATTATCTTTCCTTAAATAATACATACCTGATTGACTGTTATTTCTTCTCAAATATGTAAAGATTTGATTCGATTTTATCATTTGTTTAAATTTTGAACATTTATCCTTATTCTTTTACTCTCTCTCCCTATTTTCTCTTACTATTACTCTCTCTCCCTATTCTCTCACACTCTCTCGTACTTTTTTTCTCTATTTCCGTTACCATCACTCTATCTACAATATTTTTTTCTCTCTCTCTCTCCCTCCCCCTTATTTTATCTTACTGTTACTCTTTCTCTTTATTTTTTTCTCTACCATTGATAATTTATTTATTTTTCAAATATGTAAAGATTTAATTTTATTTTTTCATTCGTTTGAATTTTGACTATTTATTCTTAAATCAATTTATGGTATATTCTTTACAGTTGCCTTCAAATGCTATTATTTCCTATATTCTCTAGTTGTGGACTTTCTGATTCGATTCTAAACCAATTGAAGGTATTACGATACAACTCTAAACATGGTTTTCTGATTCAGTTCCAAATGTTACTTTCTCAAAAGTGATACACCTAATAGGTATGAGTTGTACCGGTTATTCAATGCACACAGTGATTACAAAGAGATACACCAATGATGCACCAAAGAGGCGCACAGTGAAATCCAAAGAGAAACACTAAAATGATAGACCTAATTGATGAACAAAATTGATACAAGAAAATGATACATGAAAGAGATACACCAAAACAAAAATACTAAAATGATACTCCTAATTGATACATAAAATTGCTACAAGAAAGTTAACCAAAGAGATA